CAACTGGAGAAGACTAAAAGAATTCTTCCCGAGATGAAATATATCCCATACCACCAGGATTCCATACAACCCTCAAGTTCAAGGGATTGTCAAAAGACATCACCAATATCTCAAAGAGGTCCTTATAAAACAAAAAGGGGGAGAAATCTTCTCCATCTACAACTTCAAAAGGCATCATTAACCATCAATATTTTAAATTTCCAAAAATCAGATGAACAAAATCGATTTCAGAGACATTGCAGATCCCTACCAATGAGGTCTTGCCAAAAAATTAGGTGGAAGGATCTTTTCACTAACCAGTGGGAGGGCCCAGATCCCTTGTTGACACAGGGCAAAGAATATGGATGTGTCTTCCTAAACAAAGGGGAAACACCTACGTGGCTACCCAGTTTGTAACTTAAAATTTCTCCCTTCCACTCAGGACAATGGGGAAGACCAAGATGACCAATAAAGAAAGAAAGAGATTATGGTGGACAAACCTTAAATTCAAACACAAGAGAAGAAAAATAATCACTGCTCAAGGGAAATTAACCCTTGAGGAGAGTGTTGCTTATTTATCCATTTCAGAGAGCTCTCCTGGTGACAATTATGGTCCAGGCAATAAGCCTCTACTAATCATAGAAGGTGGCATGGATCCTGTCAAGTGCTAGCACTGAAAGGAATCCTAAACCAGACTTCTCAGACGACGACACCTTAGACATGGTGGCCTGACCTGAAGTTTGACCTCTGTGATTTGGTACATGGGAGCTGGGTTGTGGGAGACTGGATTCAGGGGATAGAAGGGAGACCTAAATGTGGAAGTTCTTGGAGGTGCACTCTACCCCCGGCATCTTACCCTAATGAGCCTGGGTGTTTTCATGTCATTAGGAGACATGCCGTCCTGCAGACATGCAGACACCCTTTTATGTATGCTCAGGAAGCAACTGGACTGCCTCCAATATTTGAAACAGTAGGGGGGTGCTCCTGATTACTATTGTTCTTCCTGGGGATGTGAGCAGACTGGACTAGACATAATTAGAAAAGACAGAGACCACATTACAATATTTACAAAAGTCTTTGGATTCCTTAGCCAGGGTAACCTTACAGAATAGGATAGGCTTGAATGAAAGATATGAATGCATTTAAGTCAAGGACCCCCTATGAGATCTGGTTTAATGGGTCCCCATGGCTTACCACACTCGTCTTTCCTAATTGGGCTGATGGTTATTTGTTTATTGATCTGTCTTTTTGGCCCATGCCTTTTTCTAATGGCTGAAACAAGTATTCCAAAAACACATACAACAGGTACATGGCCCTTCAAATACATTATGATAGGCTCGATACATCTCGCCCAACTCTCAATTTAAGGGTGTTCAGGCCGAAACTCCTGATAGGGCTGGCACTGACCCATACTTCTTCCCGGTGGGCTATTCTAGCTTGGTGACTAAAGTAGGCGATGAGATATAAAAAAACAAAAAGGGGAGATGCTGGGCCAAAATTGTCCCAGAGCCTGTACCTCGGGGCCTATCGACAGAGAAAAACCTGGTTGGAGTTTAAGTGAGGATGAGACAGCAAAAATTAGGTGTACACCCCTCCAGTCAGGGGGTGGGTTTGACTGCTTCTCATTGAATGGCGGTACCCCCACATCACACCATGTCACTTAAGCTATATAAGCTGAAGCTCTCAGTAATAAACTGACTTCCTGCTTGACTTGACTCCCTATCACATCTGATTGTTCTGCATTGTGGGTCTACAGATCAAGCAACCTGCATCCTAGGGCTGTGGGAATGGGCAGATAGTTCACTCACCTTTCCCTGGGGAATAAGGGGGACTAGCAAGAAATATAGGAAAAGAAATTGAAGAAGCCTGGCAACCTGAGGCTTAAAGAAATCAGCAGTAATTGACCATTGCTATAGTAGTAAATGCTTAATTGAGAGAATGTTTACTAACTTTCTGAAACAATATTGGATGTTATACTATCATTGAGCCATGTTCTAAATTTTTATGTAATTTTCTCACTTTAAACTTCTCTTTTTTGCAAAATATCATTTGACTTTCATTTACTTCGTCTTACTTCATCTTGTGCAAAGAAATCACATAACATATTCTACTGTTGGTAGAAATCAAATGAAAATGGATTTCCACTCACATCATGAAATTAAAATGTTGAACATTTTACATTTTTCATAAATAACATGGTTCCCCATAATGTAACTCATCAAATGGATAGTTTCCTACAGCAGGTGTGAACAATTTTCTTCAAGTATAATGAAATAAATATTTGTGCTATTTTTGTACTAGTTATAAAAACACTAGTGTTCCTTTCTCTGGCACTAACCTAGATTTTACATAACCTCAGGCTATTTTCATATGATGATACAATGAGTCATCTTCATATTATAAAATTCTTATTAGTAGGATAAAAAATAAACTCTAAGTTGTTTAATATAAATATTAAGTTACCTTTTCTAACTTTCATTTTGCAAATATCTCATGAATTAGGAACAGTGTGAAGAAAGTGAGTTTTATGTTTATTTAGAAAATACTTGCAATGTCAGATACTTTGAAACATGTGGTAAATATGTGAACTTTGTTGCTAAAAACCCAGCACTAAAAAAGAGTAACCTTGTCAAACAAACTATTCTCTCCAATTTCTAGGAGTTTTGAGGCTGGCCGCATGAATGCAATAGAAAGACCCAGTGGCATTCCCATTGCCAGGTCATTATGAAGCTACCACAGAGCCAATCCATATTAAAAAGGAACATTAAACCCCAATTCTTTGTGGAAGGGAATAATAATTGATTTGGAGCTCACTTTAACTCAGTGTAGTCTCCTTTATGATTGCAAGTCAATCATATTCTCCACAAGCAAAAGATAGGTATCTTGTTTCAAAATCTCCAGTTTCTCTGAATTATGCCACCAAGTAAAAGGACCTGTGAATGATCATTTAAGTCGGACTCATGAGGAGATGCAACCACTGAGGAGAATAATATATCTATCCAAAGATGTGCATTAAACAAGAAAGAGAAACAAGTTTAAAAAATGCTTTTCCATCCACAAAGAATGTGTGTCTTCTTTGTGAGAACCTGTAATTCCATATCTGTGGAGTCTCTTGACAGGAAGATCATTGGAGCTCAGGGTCAGTAATAGGCCCTGTCTTGTGGGAATAACATGAAGAATTAATCTATTAGAAAACTCAGTATCCGTCTCTAGCCTCCACATATGTCTTTTGTTGCATGCCTCAAACACACACATATGCACGTGCATGCACACACATACATACTAGATAAATAAATAAACAAACAAATAAATAATGTTTTCTAACTCCATGAACATATAACTGGTTTTATAAGACACCTATGAGAAATGTGCTCTAGATCCTAATGAGAAGTATGTTGTTAGTGGTGGGCTATGACTATTCTGAAATAGAAATAGACACATACCACAGATTTTAAGGTCAAATCTAATCCTCACATGAACCTCTACTTACTGTATTTTTTCTATGCCCTGAGTGTTTTCTCTTTTTTTCTAAGATACAGCTTTTGTTATGAACATTCTAAAACCAATGTTGACAATCTTAAGGCATATTTACACAACTCTGTGCTGGGCAATGATGTTTACACTGACAAAATTCTTTAAAATACAAGTAGAAAAGTCCTTACGGGCATCATATAACATTTATTGAGAGTTATCAGGTACTACAGCCAAAGACCTGAATTATATGCAATATAAAAGATCATTTGGTATATACACTGAGTGTGTAATGTGATGTGATAGGAAACCACAAGATTGGTGGTAGCCTTTTTGTCTGCTTACAGAATCTACAAAATATTTTCCTGAATCTCTCTGAAGTACTACTAAGCAACTTCAACTTGGAGCTTCTTACTGAGTTTCTATCTGACCACCCTGCCCTGAAGACTTCAGATTTCCCATCTCAATTTATGTAAACCAATGCCTTAAAAGATAAGTTACTCTCTATACATAACTGAATCTCTATTATGTGTATAATAATATATATGTATATATAATTATATGTCATATTGATGCATTATAAAAATTTATACACAATATATATGAACATATGCACATGTATGTATGCTTCATTCTGTGGGAATTCTTCATTTATAGAGGAGGACTGTTTTGTCCTATGATATAATAGCATCGAAATTTGGCACAACTTCAATTTGTTTTACTTTTGTGACTGTAAGATGCCAATGTAACATTTCATTCTTCCAAAGGTTTTACTCTGTAGCAATGAAGCCTCTGCAAAGTAATTCTGACTACAGAAGCCAAAATTCTCTAAAACTTAAACAATGTGAGAATAAATAATAAACCACTCATAAAAAAGAAAATTGAATCTTTTGACATTTTTCTGAAAATTAAACACCCCAAAATTTCCCCTGAACCTGTCAAGCTGAACAAACAGAAATGACAGAGAAGAAAACACATATGTATATAATTTGGCAGTAAGAAACTTACATATAAACAAACACACTAAAAAAAATTAGGACGTAGTCATGCCGATATCATATCTGCATAAAAGTGCCTTTGTTGGTTTGAATCACTCTAGTCACAAGCTTAACCTAATTAGGATGCCGAATTCCCTGGTTCTTGGCGAAATGTGCTGAAGGGCTAGAAGGTACTGCTAGAGCCGGAGGGTTTTTGTATTAACCTCCAGCTGGGACCAACAGACACTGTCCACAAGATGACCTCCAAATAATTGAATGATTTCCATATGTTTGCTCATGTATAGTCTTCTCATTTAAAACTCTCTGCATCTCCTTCCAAGTCTACTGCTTCTGACTGTGCAAGCTTAATTCTGAGAGGACTCTCACCACTGGAAAACATCAAATGCCCCATAATTAAGTGAGTGAAAAATATAAGACCATAATAATAATCTTCTAATTGTGTCTGCAGAAGGAAGTCCTCCCAACTATGATACTGATTATCGTCTAGTTCTTTAGAGAAAAGGTTTGCCAACATTGTTTCATATTGATATAATAATACAAAGGGTATAACTAATGGCTTTTGAGTCTTTAAACTGAGATCAACTAGAGTAACTCCTTATTAGTATAATATGTGGTACATTCTCTATCTGGGGCAAGCACAATAAATACATATTTTGATCAGGGAGATACAACAGGAACTTGCTTTTTCCTCTTCATTCACTGACTTGTGTTTGCAGTACATCTCAGAATGGCACACACTCTCAAGAGGCTTTTAAAAGTATCTTAAACTTGACCTGATTATTCATCCCATGCACATTATTGAGTATTTAACTGTTCCAATGCCCAGCCATCATCCTTGGAATTTATCTAATGTCTTACAACTCAACTTTTCATATATTTGCAAATTTGGGTTTACTTCAGCACTGTTCACAGTCATTAAACTAAGGAGTCAACAAGTTGTCTGTCAGTAGAGGTATATGCTATATATACAAATATATATGAGTTCTTACTCATAAATAAAAGCAACATCATATTGAAGCAAAAATAGATGCAGCTAGAGATAACAACATTAATTGAAGTATTTTTTTTTTGACTAAAGGCCATAAGGCCTTTTTTCTTTTTCTTTTTTTTTTATTGAGAAAAGCAGAAAAAAAATAAACAAACAAGTTTCCACCTCCTCCCAGCCTCCCATTTCCCTCCCCCTCCTCACGCCCTTCTCCCCCTCCCCCCACTCCTTTCCCCCTCCCTCTCCAGTACAAAGAGCAGTCAGGGTTTTCTGCCCTGTGGTAAGTCCTAGGTCCTCCCCCCTCCGTCCATATCTAGGAAGGTGAACATCCAAACTGGCTAGGCTCCTACCAAGCCAGCACATTAAGCAGGATCAAAACCTTGTGCCATTGTCCTTTGCTTCTCATCAGCTCTCATTGTTCGCCATGTTCAGAGAGTCCAGTTTTATCCCATGCTTTTCAGTCACAGTCCAGCTGGCCTTGGTGAGCTCCCAATAGATCAGCTCCACTAGGTTGGACAGGGGAGCACGGAACCACAATTCTTAGTTAAGGGAGCCACTTTAGGGTTGGCAAGAGACCTGACCCTAGAGGGGTTCCCAGGTGCCCAAGCCGAGGTCCCCAGCTAGTTCCTTGGGCAGCTGAGGATAGGGAACCTGAAATGACCCTATCCTAGAGCAATAATGACGAATATCTTGCATATCATCATAGAACCTTCATCTGGTGATGGATGGAGATAGAGACAGAGACCCACACTGGAGCACTGGACTGAGCTCCCAAGGTCCCAATGAGGAGCAGAAGGAGGGAGAACATTAACTGAATTAAATCAGACTAAAAAAAGAGAAAAATCAGAGGATTTTACTCATTTTTATTTCCAAGGTTTTATACAGATATATACACTTGAGTTTGTATATGACATGAAGCTAGAATCAAATTTGGTAATAGAGTCAAGAGGGAGTACATGGGTTTAGAAATGAAGATGGGGAATTGCAAGCTAGAATATGGTTAATATGCACTATATACAAGTTTGAAAAATAAAATCGATTAAAATAATACATTACAGAATACTTCATAAAGATTAACAAGTAACCTATGCTGGCTCTAAGAATCTGATATCCCATTGAAAGCCTTCAAGAATTAGAAACTGGTGTTCCATATAATTGATGTTGAGACATCAGTGCTTTACAGGAATGTTTACAAAAGTATGCAGGGAAAATAGATTCATAATGATGGGTAAGAAACCCAATGTACATACCAAAGTACAGGAGGACGAAATATCATATGTATAGTAAATGATAAATATATGGGTTAGAGCTATAAATGCTGTGTACCAGTCAATAGGATCAAGAGATGCTTTTTATGTTAAGGAATCCACTCCAAACCAATTTATTCATCAACAAGTACCAGGGAAACTTTAAAGCAGTTGCTTACAGTTTTTTTTCCTTAATTTGTATCTGTGTGTTTGTCTGAACACATGCCCTGTATGCAGGTGCGTCCAGAGGCCAGGAGAGGACATTGCAATTTCCTGGAGTTGTAGTTACAGGTAGTTACTGAAAACTGAATCATTTCTTCTGGAAATACAATATATTCTCTTAGCTACTGAGTAACAACTTTAATGCCTTAAGCATCTTATAGAGGAAAGTACCATGATAATATTTACATTTTAGAACAATACAAGAAAATGGATAATGATTGACAAAAATAAAGAAAAGATAGTAACTGAAGAATCTAAATGATGGGAAATTATCAATATTTTAGTGGCAAATTTATAAATTTCTAGAATGAGCTGATTAAATTCTCCATTAATTTGTATGTTTCTATTAAACCAATCAACTACTATGCACTGATCTACAAAGAGGAAACATTTATTTTTCTATTGAAAAGTTTGAAAAAAAGTTTTAATATGTATTTACTCAGAGTTGTACCAAAATGAAACCTAAGCCTATTCTTAGTTTCCAATATATTAAATAATTGGGCATCCATTATATCGTATTTTTTTTTTTTTGCTGAGAAGAAGGGAAAGGAGTATTGGAGAACCTGAACCTTCAAGGATCTCATTGTAGCACAAGCAGAATAAAAACTCAAGTTGACAAGTAGATAGGCAAGCTTACAGTCTAACAAGTCAAAGATAGAAGCAATTAGAAGACTTGGGGAATTCTGGGTGGATTTTCACATGTAGAATTTTCCTAGCTCAGGCTAAAGGTGAATCAAATCCAGTCTAGTTAGTAGTAGAAATATTTATGTCTCAGGTAGACAAAGGTAGAACATAAAAATTGATGGAAATAAGGTTTATTTATAGAAGAACATATTTATGAGAGGTAGAGTACAGTGTGCAAGCCACAGTTGAGCATAAAGGAGACAGACACCATAGAAACAAACTTGAACTATGTTTTGAGAGAAATTGGGATCAATTGAATAATTTTAAGTGAGAAAATGTCATGATAAACTTGGCACTTTACAACAAATACTCTGATTGCTATGTAGAAATAAGTTACTGTTTCTTATTTCAAGTGGCTCGTAACTGATTCTTAATTTCAATTCATGGCATAAATAGACTCAAAGAAGGCACAATTCTGCTGAGCCTTTGTTTAATCACCACATAAACACTTTACATCTCTGCTAGTGTCCTTGGTTTGAGAGGAATGTTATTTTCTACATTACAAGATTATTTTGTAACATATAAGACTGTGGCATGTCTCACAACTGCATAATGATCAGAGAGTTAGTGACTTTGGAAAACTCAATCCTAAATGAGATTTCTTCAAAAGAAACCTATGCCCTCATGCCTCAAAGAGTTATGCAGAGGAAAAGGGAGAAACATTGCAAGAGCCAGAGGGGAGAAATGAGAGCAAAGACAGTGTCTTCCTTACAAAACAAGTTTGATATGAGGGAAGTAGATAGGAGCTTCCAACTCTGACTAAGACATTTTCGCCAATCAATACGACTTACAAAGGAAAAAGTAGTTTTTTTTTTCTTACAAAGTCATACAGAGTATATAAATCACACTCAAAGCTCAGCAGTAGATAGCCAACAGAAAATGGACTCAATGGTGTTTTTACATTTGTTGTCTCAAAGTTTGTGTATATGTGTGTGGTGTGTGCGTGTGTAGTTACTAATGTTATGTTTTTATATTATAGATTCCAATTTTGTGTTTTTTATGGGTTTTGTTTTTAGATGTGTATCTTTGTATGTCTTTCCTGTGCTTTCTCACTGTTAATGTGTTATTATCATTCCAGGCTTTATAATTTTTTTATTGGCATGCATGTATTTAAAAGAAAGAGAGAAAGAAAGCATGAAGTTGGATAGGTGGGGAGGTGAGGAGGATCTTGAAGGAGATGGGGGAAGTGATACCCTGATAAGAATATATTTTATGAGTTTTCAACATAAAAAGAAAGAGTAAATCATATAAAAATTCTTAAAATCAAAATGATCACACAGCATTGTAATAATATGTAACTTTTAAAATCATGATCATGATGAGACATTTTTGAAGAATGCTAACAGAACTTTTACTACAGGAAGGGTCATAATTATTTAACATGTGATTGCAACAAAGCACTTGACTATAGTGATAAGGGAGGAAGATTCTGATGTAGCTTACAGCTCCAACAGAATACCAAGCATCAGAAGAAGGAAGACATGACAGCAAGAGCCCAAAGCATTTGGTCTCACATCATCAATGGTTAGAAATCTCAGAGAAAACAGGAAGAGGTTAAGGGTGATAAAATATCAAGGGCTTTCCCCATTGGAATATTTTCTCTAGAGCAGTGCTTCTCAACCTTCCTCAATCTCCAACACTTTAATATAGTTCCTCATGTTGTTGTGACCACCAGCCATAAAATCATTTTTGTTTCATAACAGTAAATTTGCTAACTATAATGGAAATATCTGATATTTCAGGTGGTGGTAGGTGACTTCCGTAAAAAGGTCACTTGACTCCCAAAAGGGTCACAGCACACATGTTGAGAACCACTGATCTGTTACGTCTCTCACTCATGAAATTTCCAAACCCTTTGGAAGAGCACTGCTAGTTTGGGACCAAGTATTAGAATGCATAAGCTTGTGGGGGACATTTCCCATTCAAACCACAACATGAAAGATGAATAAGTAAAAGACAGAGAGAAAACACACAGAGGAATGCACTCAGGGAATAGGCAGACTTTATTTAAATGGATATATCAGAAACTTTCCTATGAATAAACTGTATTCTTAGTTAGGAAACACACCTACCTCTGGGTAAAATGAAACCACTGTTTTAACACACACAGAGCCACTCTGCAGGGAAAAGGGAGTACTTTAGTCAAATGCAATTGTAGGTATTGGTGCTAATCAAAACATATTTCAGGTAAAGATCATAATGTGTGTTTTCACTGCCTTAATTAAGAAACCAAATTATTATCTGGAGGCAAATTAAAAAGAGAAAGCTATTCGATTAAAACTTGTGTGGCGCAACTATTATCCATAACCAGACTCATAGAATCAAGGAGGAAATAAGGAATATGAGAAAGGCACATCTTAAAAACCCACAGGGACAGAAGTTTGTCTAGCTTTATGATTTTCACTAATGAGAGAATAGCCCCTTGGTTTTATAAAGCAAGCTACAAGCATATTGATAATTAAGGCTATTTCCTACTCTCACAAATAGTCTCAGAGACATTATTTAGGTAGAAAAAGACTTCATTAACATATAAATGGCTTTAATTAGCATATTGTAGAAACACCTTCCTTTCCATAATATTTTGTTTGTTTGAATTGTGATGT